GATAACAGTACTAAACAAGTGTATTTATAACAGAGAGAGTACTTCCACGAACAACAACAGCAACAACAACACACAACAGTGGAAGATGAAGTAGTCGAGGCGACAGAGAAGACAAGACATCAGAAATCCCAAGAAAGAGAGCAAAAGATCGGAACCAGTCGAGAAGAAATGAAACAAGCTGAGTAGTTGTTGCACGGAAATCCTCGAGTGCGCATGCTAACCTTTGCTGCAGCAGGCACATCATGTCCATCCATATCAGAAAGGTAGCCGCCTGGTTGCGGTTGCTTCCCCCGCCCAACCGTGCCCGTCCGCCGGCAATTGGCTATTTGTCATGTTGAGCGGCAAGTTGAACAATGGTAAGATCGATGACGGGTCAGGGAAGGGACTGCCTCCCGCTCCGCCGCTCCCTCCGTCTCCTCCTGATCCTTGTGGCGCTGGTGGCTGCATCTGCAGCGGCGGGGATTCTTCCTCCTCTAGCGGGAGCCGCTCATATGCGACGTTGGTGAAGGAAGCAGTGATCACAAGAACCGGGCCGGCCGCAAGCAGCGTTCCGGCGACGTTGCCGCCGACCACTTGGCCTTGTCCACCGGCGAGGAAGATGGTGAGGCTAGTAGCCCCGGGAGGAGCGGGTGGCGGAAGGAAGGACCCCGAGAGCGATAAGATCTCGAAGCGGCCTTGGAGGGTGACCACGCCACCGGACGCGGAGGGCTGGTGGAGGGTGACGTTGGTGACGATGCCGCTCCCGCTGAGGACGCAGACGCCGCGCTGCCTGCGCCGGGCGTAGGTGGCGATGCAGTCGAAGACGTCACATCCGGCGCCGACCTCGAGGATGTGAGCACGGAGAGTGTTGGCGCTCTCCTGGGTGATGATCACCGGGGGCTTAGGCTTGTTCTTGGAGCCCGGGGGGCGGCCCCGGGGCCGCCGGCCCGCCGCGCCGCCTTGAGCAGCCCCCTGATCGGGCGTGAACGGCGAGTCGTCGCTTTCCGCGGCGCCGCTGAATTGGCCATGCTCGATCTTAGCACTGCTGCTGTTATTGTTGTCATCCTCTGAGCTCGGGTTAAGGTGGTGGGCGAGGTGAAGATGGTGGTGGTGGACGTACCTTGTAGCGGTGCTCAGATCCAAGCCAGCCATAACCTCATTCAAGAAAACCCACTGTGTGAGAGAAGGGAGCAAAAAAAATAATAGAAGCGCTGTTTTCTAGTTCCAAAAGCGGTGAAAAGGTGGGGAAAACGTATATAAAAGCGAGTTCTTTAAAGCGAATAGAGCACAGGGGAGGAGCAGTGGAGGAAGTGCCGAAACCGAACGCAGAGAGAGAGAGAGAGAGAGGGTTTGTGAAGGGAGGAGACAGAGAGAGATGGGAGGGTTGGCCTAAGAGTTGAAGAAATGGATAGAATAATGGGAATAGGTGGAGAGAGAGAGAAGGCGAGGGTTATAATATGTTATGCGTTGTGACATAGTGTTTGATGGTGATGCCTTAGGCTCCATTAAAATGCCTTAAACTGAGGTTTAGGAGTTGTTAAACCTTGGGTTTACCAAGTTAACCCAGGGTTGGTGTCAAACAGTTGTGCAAGTGGTTGATGGTCTTCCTCCAAAGGAGCCGAAAGCAGACATCCTCTCTCTCTCTCCCTCTCCCTCTCCCTCTCCCTCCTCAATCGAACATTGTCTCTTCGTTTTGCCTTTCCGAGACACATCTGTCATTTCTTCTAATAATTAACCATCTTTTTTTTTTCCTTTTCTTATGTATTTTTAATGATTCAGTTTGATTTGGCATTCTCAAAGAGTAAATAAATCTGCAACAGGTCCCTCTCCTTGTGACTATGTTTCATGGGTTCGTTGCCTATTCTCTCTCTCTCTCTCTCTCTCTCTCTCTCTCTCTCCATCTCCTCATGTCGCTTCACCGTAAAGATCTTCTTGTTCGACCCCTCGCATCGATCGAATGAGCCAGCAATCAACCACGTGATGTCATCCCTACAGTGAGGCATTTATAATCTGCATCAGGAGAAACCATCCATGGCCATGCATTCCGGTGCATGCATCAAAATGAGTGCGGCTAAATGCCCGAACCGGTCATGTAAACCAACCGGCCTGGTTCAACCGGGGAGGGTGGCGTTCACGTGCGTCGTCCGGACCGAGTCATGCAGAAAAGTCAAACCCACCGAACCCTCCGCGTGGCTGTCGGCCGCGGCGCCCTCCTCGAGACCACCACCACCACCACCACCACTGCCACCAGCTCATCCCTCCCCAAACCATCGGTCATATTATATATACGTATATCTATACTCAGGTCTTGATGACGAGATACTGTATGTAATCTTCCGCGTACACGTATCAACAAACAGGAGCATGTTGCAGAGTCTACGGCTCTTCATATACATTTAATCTCAGTAGGTAGGTATACAGCGAAGGGTTGAGGAAAGGGATGGCAGATCGAGGAAGAGAAGAGCAGAAGTTATCGATCGATTAGGTAAAGCTGCAGGTGGTGGCTCGAGATCTAAAGCATACGATCGCTCGCTGCCACTTTTGACCAGCTTCGGAGATGCCGTAGGCCTTATTGGCTTCCTATGGTGGAGGTTCCATGGAGAGTGACTTCCACTGTGTCTCTCCTTTAGCTTTAGAGAAGTGATTAAGGATGTATTCTAAACAATTCATGTCGTGATCAGAAATGCCGGTTTGTGTTTGGACATTGAAAAAGAGATTAGCCGAATCTTAATCTATAAAAGGTGTCCCCCAGTTGCTCCAAAGTTGCATGTCCTTAGTCATGGAAATATGGATAGCACTTGCAAGTTGACTTCTCCATGGTCATTTATAACTCGGGTGTTTGGATGAAGGGATGGTAATATCTGTTCCCTCTCCATCTCTTTGCGTTTTAAGATGATGTGTGGTTAGAGAGGCCTGCACTCAATGTACTGTAGAGACTACTTTATTAGAAATGTCCATACCTGATGATGGACACATATTGCATGAGTTACTTCTCTCGAATTTCCATGACACTGCCACTCTAGAGATGTTGAAGAACATTTAACACAGTTGACCAAAGCCTGTCCACTTTAGAACGATGCCTTGAGCCACATCTCCATTAAAATGATTCTGTCAACCTATCAAGTTCATTTTGCGTTTCTAGTGACCCTTTTTAGCTTCTCTATCAGCAAAAGAACATCCTACAAGTGCTCTTGAGCTATCAGTTAAAGAAGAGGTCAACAAAATAGTGATAGAAATAAATGGTAGTTGTGAATATAGTTTGAAGTCTTACGAGTTGCTTTATTCTACGAATAAACTGTTAAGAGAACATAGCCAGTACCATTGAGACTAATATCAAATTCGATGCAAGAGAAAGATCAAGTATTGTGTGCAACCATCACTGTCAATCTGATCTTTGTTTTATGATTGATTGGAGTAATTAAATCCATTGTTATAGGGGAGTCAAAGCGTATTGGTCGAGCAACAGAGAAATGAAATAATCCAACAACAACTGGTAGCTATGTTATTGTAGCTAATAAGACCATGACTTCAATGCGAACTGAACACCACGGAACACTTTTTTTTTCTGAAAGTGCTTTGCAGTAGTTCTAATCAACACACGATTATGAACTGCACAAAGCTCATTTCAGTGTCATGAATTCACTGTAGTGGAAGCGCTTCCGGACCTTCAAATATACAACAACACAGACGCGAGAATTTGTTTCACTAAAAGCTTAAGAGGTGGTCATGGAAGTCCCTAAAGATGCTCCCCACTGAGGTCCACTCTTGTCAGGCAGCAACTACACCTAATCATTCTGCTGCTTCCAACGAGCTTATAATAACTTAATCGACACACATAAAAGTAATCATGTGCCACATTGGATCCTGCATAATGTATGCGCTGAAAGATAAGCATGACATTAATTATTCACATAAAACCACTTGTTTCCGCGACACGGGCCCCTACGATTGATGATTACACGCCACAAACATCATACCACGGATTGAACAGTACTGTACTGTGGAATAATAAAAGCGTTATAATTCATCTCTATGACCGTGTGGTATTAATTAGAGGAGAGGCCGTGGTTCATCGCAGGTGAGGAAGAATGCCAACAACGTGTGGCTGTGATACGAGGATCCGGGATCAACGTCCACGTGATGACGAGGGTTTGCATGGCATCCTTCACGTGGAACCCAACCACGACGCGCGAACCGAAATATTCCCGGTGCTCGCCGCACGCGCGACGCATGTTTCACATGCAAGCGCCGCACGGAGTTCCACGACCGAGCTACGCATTGGCTTCCACGGCCGCGATCTACGTTAGATTCGGTCGGGTGGGTGCCCAAGGTCTATTGGGCTTTACGGCCTAAATATGGCCCAATTTCGACAAGAATGCTTCTAACCAAACATGCGCCGCACCCATAGGCCTGTACAGAGGTTTGGACCAGCTCTGGCTCGCAGTTTGCCAGCCAATGCTGCCAGGAATGTGCGATGAAGAATAAAGCCATATTTTGAGAGGTCTTGGGAATTGCTTTGTTCTTGACATGGTTGACTTCTTCACATATTGACTTCTTTGGGAAGAGCATAGCGCAATAGTACTGCTGAGCACAAGATTTCGATTCCATGATATCCTCCAGAAGCATCCCTGCAGCCACCCAGAAACCTTTGACATGTCTGGCTGTCAATCGTTTACGTGACATGGATCACTACAGCAAGCCAAGAACCATCTGGTGAGGGTAAGCAACTTTCCCCCAAAATTTAGGCTCAAGAATTATTGAACATTTGATCTATTAAAATGCTAATTCTTGCATGAAGCTTAAAGAGTCTGGTTGAAACAAGTCATGAAATCTCAGCAAATTTTCTTGGGAAACAGAACACTGAAATCACAATCTCTCTGGCAAGCAGTTGCAGATATGCTCTTGAAAGCATAAAGTGACCACTTCCTCCAAGAACAGTCTTTTTAAGATTTGTCAGGTTTTATAATTACCATGCCAATATATACCCCACTTCATGGACAAAACACATCACTAGCTGCCTATGTCACAACGCAAGCCAGAAACAGAACCTTTATTTATCATGTGCCAATTTCATAAATTGAGATCAACTGACTCATAAACTGGTGCTGTGTTCAAAGTTATACTCAATGTCATCAATCCAGTCACCATAAATCTTACTAATTTTGCCCGGGCCCTTCCATTTCTCGACCGATCTCTGTCCCTGCCTGTGTGTGGAACCAGCAGACCTCTGCGAGGAACACCAATATGATACATATCCGCATGAGGAACTGAGATGTTTGAAGCAACTGAAGTACCCGACAGAGCTATCTTCTGTGAAAACCCTCCTTCCACCTCAAGTTTTCAACGAAAGATGAAGGCTGAAGCCCAAAGGCAACTTTCAGCTCGAGAAATCGGATTCCCAGTTTTGACTGATGACAAATACCTGTAGAAATACATGATGTAAAGATTATCAACAAAATATTAGAGCTGAGTCTCACGACTTGAAAAACTTTAATTCACACAAGATGGAAATACGAACCCTATTTTGAAGGTACAGCCACTGTCAATTGTTTACGTGCTTGTCCAAAAAGGCATTTGCCAAATTGCTATATATCACATTCGGAGATCCAGATGCAGCATATCGTCTTATGACTTCAATAACTTCCGGTTTCAAAATCTCTTTCTTAGAAGAAGAATTACATAGATAATATAAAGCCCCAAGAGCATAAGTCACCTGTGTTCACATTCTAAAATGACATTGTAAGAACTGCTTTTGAAATCTTAGTTTGTTGTTCATAATAAAAAGATGTCTGTTCTCAAAACTATTTTGCATTAGCATATAAAATGACATTAGTCAATCAATAGATTACTTCATGAAAGTTATTTTGACCATGTGAAACCTATTTGTCTCACTGGATAAAAGGAAACGGGCAACTTTGTGAATGTTCACAAATGGATATACTTACAGTACTTCCATCTGAGCTGGATAAACATTGTATGACCAATGGAATTCCACCACATTGAATGATCATTGCAGCATTTTCCGGATCTGCAATGCAACAGTTATTTTGCTTACATATTTTGGGAAAAGATATCATATGTTTCTCTATGATATTCATTATAATGCTTACAATTGTTAAAATTCTACGCAAGAACCCTAGGAATTTATATTTCAAATTACTTACCAACACAAGAGTTGCAAATCCCACCGATGCCAAACTCAATAAGTTTTTCATTAGGCTCTGTTATGCAGTCCAGAAACAGCTCCAATACATTAAGCTGCTTGAACAAATATATGCATTAAAAACATAAATAATTAGGACCATAATACTGTAAACAGTAACGTATGAATTTGATTTCTGTACCTGGCGCAGAAATGCATAATTGTAAGGATCATATGCAAAGTTGGCCAGATTCGCAACAATTCTCTCTTTTGATTCTGCAAGATGTCAAACAACAGAAAGGCACTTGTCTCTGAAACCAACTATTCACTGTACTATTCCAACCAGAACTAAGCAAATAAAGATCAAAACAGATTCTGACACAAAATGTAGCAATTAAACAAGGAAACATCATGAACATGATCAGAATCCAAAAGCTAATTGACATGTACATTTAGTGTTACATATAATCAATAAAACAACATTTGTGAGACAAACAATTTCAGCAAAAATATTTAGCAAATTTATGATTTTTTCACGTTAAATATGACAACACACAAACTTATTAGTTTTTAGCAGTTAACAACTTATTGATCATATCTTTTCTATGAATGATTAAACAACTTTTAAACCGAGGGACACGTTAATTTTGTTCAGGCTATCAAAGATAATTGTCAAAATGACAAAATGTACTGAAATATATTGCATTAACAGAAAAGATAGAATCCAATACATTGACCGGAATTGACCAAAATAGAGTTGATGAATATCAAAAGCTTTTCAACTTCAAGTCTTCAACTATATATTATTCTATAATGTGAAACTGTGATACATATCAATTGGGTGAAAATCATGTTAAAGTTCAAGATTTCTCAGCAAGGCTTACAACCTTTCAAATGGAATGAATTACATGCTACAATAAATACTTTTACAACACATTGAGAATGAGACTGATCTGAAAGAAAAAGCTTTGCAGTTTTCCTTTATAATTTATTTTGACAAATGGCAGTATGGATCTTAAGGAGCAATATACTCAAGTTTCTAGCAAACCAGCAAAATCTGTCATGAAATAAAATGTCTGTTGTTACTTGATTTTTGTCATGACCTTCACCTTCTTTGTCTCTCTATCCTACTAATTCTGTGTACTATCTTTCCATAAAACAAAAAATTCAGCCAAGAATCTACAATGTGGAGCCTGTGAGGTGTGGAGTATGTTCCTGAAATATTAGGCTTCAATGTAGGGTTACCTTACATTTTAGCAGCATAGCGAGTTAAATTGATTTTAGGTTAACTTTAAATAATGATTTATTCTTAAAGCACCTAACTAGGCAAATTCTGACAATAGATTTCTATATTGGCATTCATTCCCCAACTTCAAAGTCATAATTGATAACCACCCTCATTTTATGATTAAAACAGAACGTACACACATTTAAGCTCCTAGGCTTAGTGCATTCAAATGCATATGGTATTTACGAGTTACAATACTGATAACGTCTGTGGTGCCTATATCCAGTAAAATTGAGAAGTATGGTCATTCAAAAACAGGAAAGATAATGGAATGTTACAAAATGCAAATAAAGGCCAGATTAATAGAGTTCCAAACCAATAATAACCTTAGATAATTATGATTTCTCTTGAATCAAGCAGAAAATCTGGAATGATATGAAAACAAAAGGACTACGATGACAAAGAACCAGTAATGACCTTCATTTGTTGCATTCTGGAACTCTGTCACAAGTTCCTGCAAAACAGATGCATTGGAAATAAGCAAGAGAGCATACTTGGACTGAAATCATTGTAAAACCACTAGAAAAACATAAGATATATATTCAAGAAATATCCTACATCAGTTTACAGCATGCGACAACAAGATCCTCTGATCCAGGCCCAAGTATACCTTGTCAGAATCACCATTCAACTATTATATAGATTGCATATGTTGCAATTGGCAGAAGGTTATAATAACTGTGTCGCTTTGGAGCATTATCAACCTTACAATTTATGCAAAAAGTAATCTACTAAATTTCCTAATTCATATTAAACAAAAAGGATAACTAAAGACAGAAAGGTTCAATGAGGAATCACATTCACATCAAATATCCAAAGAAATCAAATGCACAATCATAAAAAAAATTTATTTTTCTAAAGCATGTAAGAGGAAATAGATAGACTGGATGATAACTTTTCTTATTTCAAAAAATTTTGTTGCTGGGATCAACAAATCGAAGCAACAGAGAGAAAGAGAGTACCTGAAGGTATTGGGCTCGAGGGGTGCCACGCCTCCCAGTGCGCTCCGCCTGCCGCTTGTCATTGGTGAACATTTCAGCAGCGACTTCAACTGCTGCTGCTCTACCAAACAGGCACTGGTTCTCCCCTTACCTCAGAAGGAACCCAATCTAATGAATAAAACGCTAAAACTAGAAGTAAACGAATTGAAGACAAAACAGAAAAAAGACCAAATTTGCTGCAAAATTCATACCTTTAACATCAAGCCAAAGAAAAATAAATATCTTGTGATGACCGTGTTGTCAAAGGCACTAGGCACTAAAATGCACCAAGGTTTCAAAAGGTGAGGCCCTAGGCACTCACCAGAGCGAAGCAAGGAGCTTGCCAATAAAAAAAATCATAAAAAAGATATAATCAAGAAGAAATTCAATTATAAAAAATATAGATTAGACAAAATATGAATTCCATATCATTGTCATATTCAAATTATCACCACTAAATCATTGAATTATATTCATTCTACCATCTACAAAACATTAAAGTACTAAATTGTTTGAATCTAACGAAAAAAATAACAAAACAAAAGAAGATTAACATCAAAATTAACATAATTCAAAATTATAGAAAAAATTAACAATTCAAAATTCTAGCAGTCACAAATACAGTAATTAACACGATTCATAAATTATTATTCACAAAAAATTAAGAGAATTTTGCAGGGTGGGGGGTGGTCTGAGAATAGGAGCAGGTCGGCTGAGAGTAGGGGAAGGCTGAAGGCAGGGGCGCGCAAGGAGGGGGGCTGAGAACAGGGGGAGGCAAGGGCGAGGGCTGACAGCGACAGGAGGCGGAGAGAGCCGTCGAAAAAAAAGGGAGAGGCTGCCTCAGGACGCCATGCGAGAGAGATGCAGAGAAGATGCCATCGGAAAGGAAAGGGGTCGCGGAGTGTTGCGACAGAAAAGAAGGGGGGAGGGAAGGGGCATTGCAAGCGAGAAGAGGGAGGGGGGGGACGTTGAACCGCTGGAGAGAGGGGGGAGAGAGGGGTCGGGGATAGAGAGAGCTGAGAGAGAGGAGGTACCGGGGGAAGGCGCCGCGCTGCACCGCCGCCGCTAACGCTGGGAGAATCCTGGTCGTCGGTCGGTCGTGTCGCCGGCCGACTTACACGCAACAGGGAGGAGGACACTCGGGTTTGCCTAGGGTTTCCTGCGAGAGAGACGATGCGTCGCAGTGGAGATGCCTCGCGCGTCGTGCGTCTTGAGGGGGTGGTAATATCCGAATCGGCGAGCACCACCGTTGGCCGGAGACGACAGGGGCGATGATGCACGGGCAACGCGGACGGGGTCGCCGTGGTCACGATCTGTCGTGCTATTCCTTTTGATATCTCTTATCGGAGTTCCTGTTGGCTTGTAAATACATCACAATACCGTAACGGATATGGAATCCGTCTTGAGCCTACTCGTATATCACACCATCCAAAGTGTCAAATTTCGGATACTAATTAACATCGTAATACCGTACCATACTGATATTTCGATCTTAGCTTTGGTACGATACAGTATACCGAACGGTACATCTAGGTATGTCGAGTACTGTAGCTCTGTTACAGTACTACAGCGCACTCGGACCGGTAACAGACGATTCGCATACCGACAACTTATCGGACCAGTACGTACCGCCCGTATCAGACGGTGCAGTTCGATACTGCAGACCATGCTAATTAATATCAAAACAAAACAATGGTGATATTGAATTGATTTCTTAAGCACAATTTGGGTGGATTATGTCATCGATTAATATCTGCTTTGGGAATTGCAATTGATATCATTTTAAGAAAATATGGTGAAAAAAATTAACATCCATTCGGTGTTTAAATTTAAATTCATTTACATTAATTTTATCGGATCTGAAACTTATGTTCAAGGTAATAATAATAATAATAATAATAATAATAATAATAATAATAATAATAAATAATAATAATATAATATTAAACCTATAAGTCAATTTAATATTAAACCTAAATCCGAGTGTTAGGCTGCACTCATTGGAACTTGGATGATTTATATTTCTTGTATCACATCCAAACCCAATAATCAACATCCAATTTTTGCAACCAAAAAAGAAATATAAATATTTTAGGTAAATTCTTACATCTTTTTTATTTTATCATAAAGTATCTCTCATTTTTAGAATTCCCATATTTTTTTACATAGTACCTAGAATACCCTTAGCCACATACTCATTTTTCTTTCTTTTCCTTATAGATTGATCACATGGTTATAGTATTTTTATATTACACTATAGTGTTTTATATTATTAATATTTTTATACTATTAAAAATACTATAGCATAATATAAAAATATTATATTATAGTATTTTTTATTGTATTATAATATTTTTTGATATTGTTGAAAGCACTATGACCATAGTGTTTTTATAAAATTTATATAAAAATATTTTATTACAGTACTTTCCTTATATTACTTATTATATAAAAAATAGAGAAAAAAAAGAAAAGTGTTTTTCGAGAATCGACCAAGGCATATTTAAAAATATATGTTTTACTTTTGAATAAATATTAAAAATATTAAAAAGATAAATTTATCATAAATATATTTAATAAACTTTTAATTTTATCAAACATCACTTATGTTAAGGCATATTTAAAATATAATTTCATTTATTATTTTTCAAGCACTTAAAGCATTCCATAACTACCCATTCACTCACTTAAATATCTTTCTTTAGCTATACATTAAAAATATAGATATATTTTCAAAGGCAGCCTATAACTCTACAAATAACTCATTAGTTTATGCACGGAAGAAAACAATAGTACACTATCGATGCCACCTTCATCACAGCTTGTATCAGCAGTGACCTAATCAGCAGCTTTAAGATGACCGTCACAGTCCATAATTAAACGTGAGACAGGAAGATAAATAATCGTAAATGATTAATTATTTCCCTATCTCTTCTGTAGAGGGACAACACGACGGCTAGGTTTTCAAGATAGCAGACATCTGTAGGTTCTCTGATGTGCACAGCTACCAACTTCATTACTGATGAACCGTGGCGACATGGACATACCTCTGAGATAGCCTTTGCCATGGTTCTGAAAGGAAGAGAACATAGCCAGTCCTTTGACTTCGATACAAAGGAGGCAACGGTGATGGTTCAAGGCATTGTCCAACAATGGATGCTCCATTACCCTTCTCCCACGACTTTCAGAATGCTCCTGTAAGGAAGGGAAGAGAAGAGAAGATAACAATTTATTGCGGACGACAGGAGTGAGACAATGGCTCAAGGCATCATCGTCCACAGTGATCACCGGTGCAAACAACGTCAACGTATGTCGTCATCAACCCAAACCCCTCCTCACCCACCCTCTTTTGTCAAAGCAAAGAAGAAAAGGTAGCTCGCCAAACTTTGTCCTACCACCACCATTTACATAAAGGAAAGGTCGAGCACCAGGAGCTCCCATACGTTCCACTCCACCTCTTGTCAACCAAAGCGTGACAAAATCCGAGATTTGTGACCTTAATCACGAATCAAACCCGTGATTTGTATCACCTGTTAACGACAAAGGGGCTGGCCATCAACGGGGTTGAGAGCGATCGCCACCGACTGATTGTGGTTGACAAGATGGCATGGAGTGAGTGCACCATAATGTGGGGGGGCCTCACTCCAACACTCCCCGGAAACCCAGCTTTAGCTTCCTCTCAGTGGCTGCTTTTGAACGAACTACCAGTGGCCACATCACAGAGGGGAGATGCAGCGATGCGTGGTGGTAGGATTCAGAGTACGCTGAGACATCCGAGAAAGGACTGCAACCGGCCGGCCGGCCGGCTTTGTGGAGGAGATGGCACAGTGAATGCCACTCACCTCCACTTGCTTGCCCTCCTCTTCCCCACTGTTATTTCACTGCACCATGTGTTCATTGCCACCACCGGAGAGACCAATGGCTCTGAAAGCAAATGCCGCACTTGCCTTGCTTTTGCCTTTCGCATGAATTTTATTTTATCTTCAGGATATTGTTTAATAAATGACTTCGTCTCGTGGTATCATCGATTCGAAGCGGCTACTGGGACCCACCTGTTGGCCATCTGCTCCACCAGTCATACGACAGGTAGATTCTCGGCGAGAAAGTTTTCTAGATGATCGAAGGTTCGTCACCGTCCGAGTCGGACCCAAAGGCGGCGACCGCACGCGTCAAACAGCATACATCTTGTCGTCCATTTAATTACGTCCACGTGAATGGACCGCGTGGCGGTGTAAGCGTGTCGAGAATTGAAAGGCGAAGAAAGCCGTCCTTTATGGCTACCGTAGACAAAGCACGGCATCGTCGATACCGACTCTTAATGGCGAAGTCTCCCAGAAAGCCGTCCTTTATGAAAAGACGTCACACTCAGAAGCCCAACACGGAAATCATGGCTTCGTTCCCATCTTTATCTGCAACATCAATCGTCGACCGCGAAAAGGGGATCATACGGCTCGGAATGATCGGGCCCCGCCACTTACCATGTGATCTACCTCCCCAAACCCACCCAAGAAGGAAGGCGGTATAATGCACCCTCGCGTCCCCCCATGGGAAGTGTGTTCCCTTCATCTCTTCCGTTCTCTTAACACCACGTTGTAACGGGAGACGAAGTAGTATTACACCTAGAAACAGCAGTACACGAGAACTCTATTACTACGTTCCCATCAAGGCTTGCAGAAGCTTTCACCAACAAGCTCCGCCGTCCTTATCGACAGTGTTTCCCAGCACCGGCCTCCACGCCAAGAAGCACTTTGTGCTGTGAATGGTCTTCCTGTGTTCGCCATGAGCAATGGCTTGACAGCAGCTTTCACCGAGTAGCTACTATTGTGGTTAATACGTAGTTTTAGAAGTCTCTGGTATTGATGATGTGAAGGCAGGCTTAGAACTCCAGCATTAGGCTTCCAAACGGAGCTCTGTGGGGAATTCCCTTCCTCCTCTTGGAGCTGCGGAGGCGGGCGGCGGTCGGCGAGGGCGTGGATGGAGTGAAGCTCTGTGTGCCGTCGTGGCTCTTGTCGCTGCCGCTACTGGCACTCGTGCAATACTCCTCTGAGTCTGATCCAGCAGTTGACTTCTTCTTCTTCTTCTTGCTGTTCTTTCTGTTCCTGCTGTAGTCAGAGGCGGTGCCGGCAATCTGACATGGACATTTCATCAAGCAATTGGTTAAGGACGAGAAGAAACGATGTCTGTTTGGTGGAAAGGTTAAATGTTGGTAGTGACGAAGAAGGGGCTGGCGGAGACCTTGCAGCCGAGGGAGCAGAAGCGGAAGGAGTCGAGGAGGCTCCGATTGCAGACTTCGCAGGTGTTCGTGACGCCCTTGCCGGGCTTCGGCTGGGGGCGCTCGTTAAGGAAGACGACGCGGGCGCTGTTGATGATGTACGTCTGCACGCCGGTGATGTCCAACACTTTCTGGATCTCGGAGACTCTGATCACGTCGTGGTAGGAAGACCGCCTTATCTGTAACAACAACACCAGAAAAAGAACATTTCTCGTCATCAGAAGGATTCAATCCCTTGCGACAAAGCATGGCATTAACGAGAAGCGGTCCAAGGAATGGACAAAAATAGGATTTGGCAAGAAGAAATAATGGATTTGGATCGACATGGTTGCTTTGATGAGGAACAGGGAGGTCATCCAAGAAGCCATTTTTATGGCGGCAAAAAGGCGGAGTAGATTCCACTACAATCAAAGACGTTGACACGCACCTAAAGCTAATTGAACGGGGAATTGAAGGCAACAAGAAGCAGCAACGGACCTGGATTGCTCGGTGGTCGCCGTGGTGAGAGAGGCACCGGGAACAGAGGGCGCCGCTGGTGCAGTCGAGGCAGTACATGTTACACTCGCTCTTGTGGGAGTCCGCGTGCAGCTTGCATTGCACGAAAAAGCGCGTCGACAGCAGCGGCCGCAGCCACGGCGGCCACTTCTCCTCCTCCTCCTCCTCCAGCCCCCCTCCTCCTCCCTGCGCCCCGTTCCTTGGTGTCAGAACCCACACCAACGCAAAAACCCGGAGAAGAGAGACACAACGAAAGCTACAAAAGTCAGAGCACAAGAAAGAGATGCTCACCATCACTCGTCTGTTCTTGATGTTAAGCTCTCTAAACGGAGATTCTTGATCGATCGCCACATTGATCATCGGAAAAAAATCACACCTTTTCCTCCGCTTATCTTGATCTTGGAGTCACAGAGCCAATAGCAAAAGGGACAAGAATGGATTCAGGGGAGAAAGAAAGCAGAACAGATGCAGGGGTAGAGAAGGGGTCTCTGTAAGCAAGGGAGAGAGAGAGAGAGAGAGAGAGAGAGAGGGGGGGGGGGTTTAAGGTGCTTTAATTGCAAGGAAGTCTCCTTTTCTTGCTCTCTCATCCTCCTGCCCACCACCTTCATGGATGTCTTTTTCCTCCACTATTTATCTATGCTTTTTTTTATCCAATCAATTACAGTAATGCCACTATAATGCTCATGACATCCTCAACCATTAGACCTATTTATGCATGTTTATTGTTGGGAACTTCATGTTGTTGAGACTTGTAGCAATAGGGTTTGTGGAGTGTGATTTGATGCCCAATTACTTGCAAATATGTTTCATCAAGTAGACAATAATAGATGATTCAATAGTATATATATATATATGTCACAATTAAATGCCCCATAAATGTGGACTTTCTTCCCCTTAATCTAACAAGAATGCTAGAGCAGCATTTTTGTTCTTTAGCCAAAGAGGTGTCATGTTTGGAGCAATTCCCAAACGAGTGCCAAATGTTAGTAAACTAATAACCTAAATATATCTATCATTAATTTTGATTATATCCTTTGATTTCATAATTTTCAATTGTGTTATCTAAAAGAATAGTTGGAGACAATATTACAATTTTTTTGAGGTGCAAAGAATACACCATGAAGAGAGAATTATCTTATGTGGTAAATTACAAGGCATCATGCATAATCTAAGCACATGATCTTATCACCATGCTCTCACAGCATCATAGTTGAGGCCTCCTTCGTCAAACCATTCATCCTTTTTTTTGGTTTTAGTTAAAGTAAGTTTAGCTTCATAATTGTCCCAATCATTCTTCTACATTAACATTAGTTTTAGGAGTTTTCTGCACCCTCTTAAGTCGTCTGCTTCATGTGACTAACATGGAGATGCAATTGTTGCTGTCCATTTCCACCTTTCACATGATGGATGGAGCTCAAAGTGCATGCAACGGGAGTTACTCATACTTGCTATTATTTTATGAGATGCATATTGAGCGGTACATGTTGGGTGGCTCACTTCTCCTGCAGTAGTGGAATCGGATCCCCTCTTGGCTGCATCAACATTATTCTTTTACTTTTTTCTTCTCCGCAAAAAATTCTTTGCCCACTGAGAGTCACAGTTTCTTTACATACGGCATATTGGCACAATGTGATCACTCGATCTGGTAGGAAGGCAGAGGTTGAAATGTTCGGACGGATGAGGATGAGATGCGTTGGAATTAAACGTGTACTAAGTGTTTTATTAAAAGAAAAAATTATTAAAGATTTATTATTATTGATTCTCAAAAGGTTTTTAAAATAGAATGATTTATTTTTTAATATAATTAATGTAATGTATCTTTGGGGATTATATAAATCCCATATTAAGTCATGAAACACATGCAGTTTCTAAAATTATAAATTTTTTTTGAGAGAAATATAACAGACGGAAGCTTTTTTTTTTAGAGAAATTATTAAGTTTTTTCTGAGAGAAATATAACAGAGAAATATAATTCTACTTTTCCTTTGATAACTCTATCATTTTTTCCTATTAAGTTCAACATTTGGTATCAGAGCATAAGTTAAGCTATGATATCTTCCTCAAGTACCATTCAAATTCAAATCCCTATATTAACAAAAGAAAATTATGATGCATTCAAATGAAGATTCTTCTATACTCCTAAAATATATAAGAGTTTGTAGAAAATGAATATATTAAACCAAGTCTAGCATAAAAAGGAGCAATAAATGTAGAAGCAAGAAAGCAACTCAAAAATAGAAGAAAGGAGAAAAAGGATTTGTTCACTATCTACTAAGGACTTAATGATATAATGTTCGAGATCATCGCTCTAGCAAATACTTCAAAGAAGGCTTAGAAAATACTTCAAAAAGCATTTAGTGGTATTGATATGATAAAGAAACTTCGTCTATATAAGTTTTATAAGCCAAGTTTGAAAAATTATAATAAGATACTTCTGAAACTATTTCTCATTACTTATTAAAAATTATTTTTATTATTTATTAAATGAGACGAAACGATGAACAAATAAGTGATCACAAGAGTAATAGAAAAAAAAATACCGAGATCTCTAGATCCAAAATTTGATTTTATTGCTGTTGCAATTAAAGAATATAAATATTTAGAAAAAATATCTTTAAAAGAACTTATAGGTTCCCTTCAATTTCATAAAGATTACAAAAAGAGGAAAAGACAAAACTACGAAGCAAGCACTACAACCGAAGATTGCTCTTGAAAATAAAGATATATCAAATTCTCAAAGAGGAAGAGAACGTGGACAGAGAGAAAGAAGAGATAGAAATTAAACAAATTAAAAATATCCAAACAAGAAAGGTGATAGAGAAAATTCTAACCAAAGAGGTCGATGTTATGGTTGAGGACGTGGCTAAGGCCATCGACGTGGGAAAAACTCTAAAAGGTCTAAAATACATTGTTATATTTATAAAAGATATGAACATTATTTCTATGAATGCTATTATAAATAAGTTTGCAATAAAATAATATAAAAAATATATTATTTTAACACTCAATGACACATCACCAAATGAACCTGACACATTGGTGAAACTATTCTTCCATGCACGCCCCCATAATCCTATAATCAAATAATGGTTGATGTTTCTATATAACTATTTTGTAAACTAATTACCTACTTAACTTCAACCATTTATCGAGCTCAGCCAAAGCGTATTCCTTAGCTCTCTTAAACTCATTTTGTGCTCGCTACGTTTCCCTTGGAACCTTCAACTCTACTAACTTTAAGTATCTAAGGTACTTTATTAAGATATACCAAAACATACATCAGATTAGTGATAAGTTTAGATGATGGACCCAAGGTTGGGTTCGAACCGTTGATGTGTTCGATAATCATAATTCATAGTGACAAACATAAAATATAAAATAATTTTTTTAAAGAATTATGATATTTTAAATCTTTTTTCTAATTTTTTTAAAATAGTTTTTTTTAATTAAAAAATTTACCTTAAATTGTTATAACATAATCCAGTATTACACTAGACTTAATCAAGAAATCAAACAAAATTATATTTTAATAAATAAAAAGTACATAAAAAGAATTAAAAAATAATACTAAAATCTGAGGGACACGACCCTATACCATAACATCTCACACATTCCTAATTTATCCACAATATTTATGTTCAATGGAATATTACTTACAGTAAGTTCAAGATGATTGTGCCTTTAAAGTCTCCATTTCTTCCTACAAAATCTAATAATATGAGGCATAACTTTTCTTTTCTAAAATATGAGGCATTTTCTGCTTAGATCTATTAACTTTATTTCTTTTACAAAACATCTATAAATATAAAATAAAACACGCAATTGACTTATAAAAAAATTACAAAGATTAATAATGAAAGTGAAACTGACATATTACAATGAGAAGAATATGATAAGATTGCATACTTGTCAGAATTCCAAAATGTAACCAAATTAGCTCATATGAGTTGATATAGATTTTGAGCTATCATAATGAATAGACTTTTGGGCTTTATGGCCCAAATATGGCCCAATTTAGACATGTACTCTTTTCGTGGACGTCTATGTCATTGCCAACGTAATCCGACCAACCCAAATAACCGCCGCACCCATGTTGGACACCGCCGGTCCCACAACACGAGGGATTCCACTACACCACCACGTGTAGCTAATGGCTCTCCTCTCCGCGTTTCCATCTCCGCCGTTCGCGAGTGGGGCTGCTCAAAGCATCCACCAGCAGTCAGCACCATGCTGCTGCCTTTTGTCAGCATCTTCCTTCCTCTAAGCTTTGCGAGGCGCCTCCTTGCGGATGCTAATAAAATATTTCCTTCTTCCCTCCTGTGATGGGGTGGCCAACTCACGAACTACAAGAAGCCGCCTCCGTTTCGTTCCTTCTTTCCTGCTCTGAGCTTGGGACGCGAAATAGATCAAAGGAGGGTCCGACGAGGTAAAGTTCTCTGCTTTTGCCTTCCGTTGCCCTGCTTTTGCGAAGATATTGATGGTACTTGTCGATTGCCTCTTGGATTCGAGACTGCTTGTTCTTGGATTGTCGAGTAGTTGGCGCGAACGTTGTTTGGGTTGTGTTAAGGTTCTTGAACGCATCTTGTTTGTTAAAATGATCATATACTAATTGTTCAAGTAAAATCTTTTGCGGGTGACCCATACCATATGGTGCTCCAACATGAAACAGTCAAGGTGTGGGTAAGGGGCTGTCAGATGCTTGGACAGCCTAGTGAATCTGGCACAGATCCGGATTGTTGTGACTTTTCCTTGTATGATCTAGCTGGACTATGAGCAAGTATGATAGAGAGAATGCTGTCCAACTTCTGAGGTAGGGATTTCTAGAGTAGACAAGAATTACTACGGGAAAGAAGGAAGAAGGTTAGATGGGTCTCAGCTTAAAGGAATCGTCCATCTAGGTGTTTGATGTATTGCTTCAACTTGATCTGGATTGAAATCTTCATTGTGCATTTATTTGGCTCTTCAAAGAAACAAAAATTTCTTCCTAAAAATCTGTCAAAACATAGAGATGATTCAATTGTTTGTCTTTCTCTGTGTTTCACATTCTACACAATGGCATGTGATCCTTCTGATTCATCCTTTTTTGGCCTTCTTCAAGAAGGAAGGTTTTTGTGATTGCTATTGTTGTGGTTGTGGTTGTGGTTGTGGTGGTGGTGCTCCTGTGGGTTGGTGGGTGGGAATTTTGGCTGGTGTTGCTTACAGCTAATCAAAGGCATGTCTATGCAATCTCACAGCTAAAATAAACATACTGTGTAGATCTTCCATGTATTATGTGCCAAAATTGGTTTAGGTAGAAGCTTTAGTTCTAATTTTGTTAATGTCCACCACTGCTTAGTCGTTTTAACTATCACGTTTGTTCCACCTATCAAAAGAAGATATTCTTATGCAAGTTATTTCTAAAAAGCTTCTGAAATTTTGGCCACATCATATAGTTTTAGGGTACATTTTATAGCATGGTATATTAGAAATTGCTGTTGCTGAATCTGAAGCAGCAGCTTACATGTAATTTGGTGTCTATTTAATGTGAAACAAACATAAGAAGATCATTTTTAAAGAGTAGGTTATTCACTTATCACTTTTATTTATTTCATATTGTTAATTTTTATGTTTTATGTTTCTTTCAATAGTTTGACATTGTAAGTTAACTATTTTTCTCCACAATAAGGAACTGATTTCTCTCGTTCTTATCAATCAATTTACTAGAATCCTTTATAGTAATAATTTCTTATTTTGTTTTCATTATGCATTAGTTGGTAATCAAGAATCTTGCTCTTGGTGTTAGCATAATAAATTTATGATTAAGAAATTAAGAAGTATGCTTTATATTTATCACCTATAATAATAGATTTTGTGTATCATAAACTTAATTTGCTAAGTATAACCATATAGTCCATCAAGATAAGATTTAGTGGCAATAATGATAGTAATAGCGACAATATTAATGACGATAGTAGTGGTAATTTTGATAGTGACCACCTTCGTGATGGAAGCAATCGTAACAACCCCAACAATAATGATCAAGGAGTGCTAGCCCTATGGGCATGTTAGAAGCACAAGAAATGAGGATGACTTGATAACTATGAGAGATTTGCAACATGCTCACCAACTTGGGTTTTAGCATCAACAGAGTTCATGATGATGGTAGGATCAATCGTGTCAGAGTTGATGCTTATGACCAGCCTAATCATCAACACGGGCCCACAATCCAATGTAGGCAACTAGCAATAAAGATATGTTAGACGAAGAAGAAGGAATTGTGGACTATCATAGAATCAACTAAGGAAGAGGTGTAGGCACGACTCATCCTAGACACTTTAAACCAACGTGGTATTATCTGCCCACAACAACCAATAGTATATGATGATGATTCAAAAGATGACAGTGAATGATACAGAAGACATCAAACACCACTCATGTGAAATAGACTGTTTAAGGATTACCTCCTCAAAGAAGACCTTCCTAGTTTTAATAGCCACCTCAGCATTGAAGCTTTTCTTGATTAGAGTTATGAATTAGAGAAATTTTTCGAGATGATGGATGTTTATGATTATAAACAAGTCAAGCTTGTTGCATACAAGTTAAAAGGAGGTTCAATGGCTTAGTGGGATACATTACAGAATAACAAAAGAAGACAAGGAAAAAGCATCAGTACAGAAATGACGAACGATGAAGCAACTTCTCAAAAGAAAATTCCTACCCCCAGATTATGAACAACTATTGTTTTAACAATACCAAAACTATATCCAAGGCACTCGATTCGTAACCGAATATACTGAAGAATTCTTATGCCTTTCAACTAGATGTAACTTATCAGAGTTAGAAGACCAACAAACAACAAGGTATATCAATGGACTGAAATTTATAATTAAAGATAGAATGTCTTTTAACTACGTTATGGATAATAGATGAAGCTCACAATATGACATTAACAACTGAAATATTGTTGACTCGACCTCTAATTGCTACTCAGCAATTCTCTACTCCGGTAACACGATCTGCTCTTAACAAAGAGAAGTTGTGAATCAATACAACCCACAAATCAAGGCATAAATACTGGTAGAGGGAAGTAAGGCATATCCCGACTACCATAAACAATCCATATGCTCGAACCCTGGTTGAGAAGTGTTTCAAATGTGGGAAGCCTGATCATCGTTTCAACGAGTGTTGTGCTCGTAAGTCTATCAACCTTACGGATCACAAAGATGACTTTAAAGAAGAAGGACATGCCCAAGAGATGTGATTGATGATATTGACAGTGCTGAAATAGTAGAGGAACAAGGGGAATAGGCCTCATGTGTTATAAAAAGATTATTACTCACCCAGGCAAGAATATCCATCTCAATATAAGAAAATATTTTATTTTCAATGCAGTGTTAATAACAAAGTCTATGCATTGATCATAGACGATGGAAGCTATGACAACATTGTATCTAAATCATTGGTGAGGCGATTAAATTTGTAGATGATAGCTCATCCAATACCATATAAGCTAGGGTGGATTAAAGAAGGCCCAACTATCACTATAGCTGAGATCTATAGAGTTCATCTCTCGATTGGAAAAATCTACAATATGGAAGTTATATGTGAGGTAGTTGACATGGATGGGTGCCATATAATACTTGGAAGGCCATAGCGGTACAATGTGAATGCAACCCACCTTGGAAGAAAGAATATCTTTGTATTCTGGTGTAACGGGAAGAAAATTGTCATGAATGCAACCCACCTTGGAAGAAAGAATATCTTTGTATTCTGCGGGAAGAAAATTGTCATTCTACCGACTAACAAAAAGGGAGATGAATCCAACACTTCTAAAGTGGAGAAAAAATATTTCTTTTCTATTTCCAACTTTATGCAGTAATTCATTATCAGTTATAAAGGGCGAAGAGCCACATGAAGTAAAGATACCAAACAAACTAAAATCGATATTGGAAGAATTCAAATAGATCACCCTTGAAGAGTTACCAGATGGACTCCCACACATGTGAGGTATTCATCACCAAATTGATTGAGCTTCAAGAGCAAGTCTACCAACTTTACCTCACTACCGGATGAACCCAAAAGAAAATAAAATGAGAGAGAAGATGTTCAAAGAAGGGGATATGGGTATTGTGTACTTAAGAGAAATTCCTCGTAAACACTTATAACAAATTGAAGCCGAAGAATTATGGTACCTATAAGGTGTTAAAGAAAATCAATAACAATACTTATGCGATTGATTTACCAAATGATTAGGAAATCTCAAATACCTTCAAATGTTATAGACTTAACTAATTTCTAAACAAAAATCCATTATGTCCACACTTAAACTCAAGAATCACTTTTTTGTCAAGTGGAGTGGATTAATACAAAGCAGAAGGAAGGCTATTTCAAAAAGTAAGTTGCATACTTATCATTTTTTTTATTCCAAATTGTTAATTTTTTTATGTTTTATGTTTCTTTCAATAATCCCATATTGTTAGTTAGTTAGTTTTCAAGACCTTAAACTAGTATAAATAAAAACCTCTTCTAAACCTATGAAATCATCAAAAAATAATATCTCTAAGTATTGTAAATATTTTCTCTAGATAAGAAGTTGATTTCCCTTGTCCTCCCTTATCAAGTCAGTTTACTAGAACCCTTTCTAGTAATAATTTTTTATTTTGTTTCACAACTACATTTAGCGTACAAAACTAGATTTCTTTTATTGTTCCTTGCTAATAACCATAACAAATGTTCCTAGGATTGACAAATAGAAGTTGTAACATTTAAATCTGTCATGTACTCTTTACGGGAGCAGAAATAGATGTTTCTTTCTATTGCTGTCATCTTTGGATCTTTTGGATACAAGGACATAGATGGATAGTTACTGAACAAACACATCTTTCACTGGCTTTGTGTGACCTTCAGATCAAGGATCAGGTAGTACTATCTTTATATAATCTAATTAGTGGTCCAACAATTTATCACCTAATACAACTTCTTTTCAAAAGAAATCTACATGGCTTTACCTAATCTGTCTCCCAGTTGATCACTAGCATGAGGTGTCAGATTCTCTAGCTTTTGATTTTTCACAAGCTTGTATATCCATGGTTTGAGTTTGATTTCATAACCAAAGAAAGATTAGTGGTTAGGTGTTATAGAACATCCTACTGGATACAAAATGATGAAAATGCCTATCAAAATTAGCCAATCATGTATTTCCAGAATACAGAATGCTTCTTTTAGCACAATGACATACTAATGCTTACTTTTATTGCAACTATTGTCTAAGTTGTAGCTCAAGCCAAGTGGAAGAGTATATTTCTTTGTAGAACAATGCAATACTATCCTGGGGTATCATGCATTGTTATGGAAATTTGACAGTAGACTTCCCCATTACAAAGAACTTGAATCCTGTTCAGCCATTGATCTTTTGACTGTAACAGATGGGGGATGCAGCCAAGGATCTGACTGCTGGAACTGTTGGAGGGGCAGCACAGCTGATCGTGGGGCATCCTTTCGACACCATCAAGGTCAAGCTCCAGAGCCAGCCAGCACCACTCCCTGGCCAACCTCCCAAGTACTCTGGCGCCATGGATGCAGTCAAGCAAACAATGGTTGCTGAAGGACCGAGGGGCTTATACAAAGGGATGGGTGTTCCACTTGCAACCGTCGCAGCATTCAATGCTGTGTTGTTCACGGTGAGGGGACAAATGGAGGGGTTGCTGAGGTCAGAACCGGGTGCTCCCCTCACAGTGAATCAGCAAATGGTATGTGGTGCTGGTGCTGGAGTTGCAGTTTCCATCCTTGCATGTCCTACAGAATTGATTAAGTGCAGGTTCTTCTTCTTCTTCTTCCTCTTTACTCTTTTATCTGTTGCCGTCAAGTAGCTACAGTTGATGCAGAGCCTTGTAAACAGGCTGCAAGCGCAGAGTGCCTTGGCAGGCTCAGCAGCCTCATCTGCGGCAGCGAAGTATGGAGGACCAATAGACGTGGCAAAGCATGTCGTCCGGGAAGCTGGTGTGAGAGGCCTCTTCAAAGGCATGGTGCCGACCTTGGCGCGTGAAGTCCCCGGGAACGCCGTCTTGTTCGGCGTCTACGAAGCCCTTAAGCAGTACTTTGCAGGGGGTAAGGACACTTCGGGACTAGGGAGGTGGCCTCTGATGGTTGCCGGAGGGCTGGGCGGCGCCTCCTTCTGGCTGTCCGTCTATCCCACGGATGTGGTGAAGAGCGTGATCCAGGTGGACGATTACAAGAACCCCAAGTACTCTGGTTCGGTCGGTGCCTTGAGGAAGATTGCGGCGGCCGAAGGTATCAAAGGCCTGTACAGAGGCTTTGGACCAGCCATGGCTCGCAGTGTGCCAGCCAATGCCGCCTGTTTCTTGGCATATGAGATGATTAGATCCAGTCTTGGGTGACCTCCCCAACCACATCGATAAGATTATTTGAGAAATGCGGCTAAAGCCATTTGTTGGGTGTTGGGCATTTGCTTTGTTCTTGACATGTTGACTTCTTTGTACTCTCACGGGAAGCAGAAGAGTTCTTGACATATTTGACTTCTCTGAGTTATCGCCCGTCTTTCTCTGGTGCTATCAAGAACAGGCATCAAAGCATGAAAATGAGATATAGCACAGAAGATCCGCAGTAATTTGAGTCTATTGTGAAGGAAGTCAAAATGGAAATCTTGTGACAGACTAAAAAAAGACTAATAGAATAACAACGGATGCTAAATTAAACTAATGTTCAGTTCATGAACTGACCGGCACAAACATCATTAGCCATCTTAGTACGTTAACAGTAGGAGGAAAGACTCCCAATGTGCACAGAGATATTGAGTACAATATTTCCGTTCTATAATAAACTTCAGAAGCATTCTTGCAGCCAGCCAGAAACCTTTGTCATGTCTGGCTGACACTGGTTTACTTGATATGGATCAATCACAGCGGCAAGCCAAGAACCAACTGATGCTGATGAGAGTTAGCAACTTGGCTTCAAAATTTAGGTTCAAGGACTATCAAGCATTTGTTAGTGAAATGCTAATTCTTGAAGCTGAAAGAGTCATGCAATTTTCGCAAACTTTCTTGAGAAGCAGCATACTGAAATCACAATCTCCAAGGTGAACAGTCGTAGATATACTCTTGAAAACCAGCAAAAGAAGCATATAGTAATCACACTTCCTCAAAATACAGTCTTCAGATTTCCAGGGTTTTATAATTACCATGCCGATAGATACCCCACTTCCTGCATATGGCAGCACATCACTAGCTGCCTTCAGTACTCCACAACCTCGGAACAGAACCTTTATCTCAGGTGGCACAGCATAAAATGGAGATAACCGACTAATTATTCTATTAGTAGGTAACCTGGTGCTTCTGCATTCAAGGTTCTACTCAATGTCATCAATCCAGTCACCATAAATCTTACTAATTTTGTCCGGGCCCTTCCACTTCTCAACTGACCTCTGTCCCTGCCTCTGTAAGGAACCAGCAGACCTCTGCGAAGGAACACCAATATGATACATATCTGCATGAGGAACCGAGATGCTTGAAGCAACAGAAGCATCTGATGGAGCCTTTGTCAATGTCCCTGCTTGCTTTGAATCTGGAGTGGCCGAGGAGACATCTCTACCTTCTGTCTCCATAAGACCCCCACCGTATCTGTGAAGCTCTGAAGCCACAATATTTACTCATTAATGAGAATAATATACTGCAAGCACATCCTAGTATACACTAAACACAGCAAAAATATTCATACAAATATGAATATGATGCCGAGAGTAAAGATCATAACTGGCTGGTCAAGGAGCTCCTATGCAAATGATAAAAATCAATTCAAGCAGTACCGAACCTTAAACTCGTTCAGTAGACAGACGCCCAATTCAAGATAAATGACATAAAAAAAGAATAATAATAATGCACATACTCTACATACCAGACCATGAAGCTCCACTCAGCATGTTTTTTTGGTAAATGAAGCGTGTAAAGCCATCAAGGAAATCAACTAATCATGGTATATGGCCAATGAAACTAGTGCCAGAAGGTAAATCAATACGTTTGTACAATTCAAGAATAAAACTAATACATCGCAGATCTTCTCTTAAGTTTTCATTATAGCTCATCATAATCTGAAGCACACATGAAACACCTTACGGCTGTTGCACCTACAGATGGATTTCAGTGTTAACAAGGGAGTCTGTCATACCTGCTGCACCATGAGCAAAGTGGCACTTGCTGCCAAATGGGCAATACCCCGTCATCTCCCACTTGTTACATATCCTCGTCTTCCAGTTCGAAGGCTTCTGAGTCGACCCATTCGCTCCACCCCCATATCCACTACCTCCAACTGTGGGTGACAGACTGATCGCCACGCTCTCCCGAGCCTTAGATTGCTCATCATGGATGAAAGTGCAGGTATCCCCATATGGGCACCCCTCTTCCGTGTAGAACTTCTTACACCGCCTTCCTTTATAGGATCTTTCGGAATCCCCAATCACGATCGACGAGCTCATCGTTGGTATCTGACGCTCCTCTCTGGCCTCGGAGCCCTCCTCGTGAGCTGCCACAATCTCCTGCCAGTTTGGAGGCGGCTTGCGGAGCTCCTCGATCCCATGAGCAAAATTACAGTTCGTGATGTATGGGCAAGTCCCTGCACGGAATTTGCAGCACAGCTTGGTCTTGAAGAACATTTTCCCAATGGCTTTGGAGCTGGTGGACCTATTATTACCCTGAGAGTCCCCTTGGGAGTTCCGAGATCTCTTGCCGGGAGGCTGCTCGCTGCCCGCCCGGGACTGGGATTGGCGGCCGTCGTAGGCAGAGTTGAAGCCAGCATCGGCGGACGCGTCTCCGCTCCAAGCACGGTAATCCTCATCGGTCGCCCACAGGAGCTGGTCACTCCCTCCTGGGAGCCAGGAATCGCGGCCGGGAGGCCCAGACGCGTCCGGAATGATCGCGATGGCATTGCTTCCGGGATACGAAGTTCCACCACCGTAATCCATAGAAAATGTTCGCGAAATCCGGACCAGAGAGACCAAGATCCCAAATTTCCACCAACGGAGCGGAAGAACGAGCCCGCAAGCTAAGAACCAGGATGGAATCGTTGCCAAGAGCTAGGTTCCGAAAAGAAGGAACCGAACCACGAAGAAGCAGCCAAAGAAATCCACCAAAGACTGGTCAGAGGAAGTGCCGAGGAGACGCCATTTCGAGGGAGAGCGACGCCCTAATCGAGGAAACCCACTAAAGAAACAGCCAAGAACAGAAGAAGCCCTATGGATTGATCGGGGTAACGTTGACGGCGAGCAAGAAGGAGCAAGGGCGAGGCCCGTGGAAACCCTAGCCAAGCAAACGGCAAAAGAAAACCGAGCACTCGGAAGACGGAGGAGGAGCACGAGGAGGTAATTTGTTGCATCATCTTCGTTTTCTAGTTTAGATCGAGAGTGACGAAATGTGGCACCGCTCGCTGCCTCGTGATTGGATGGATGGGTGGGCGACCCGGATGGGACCCTTAGTTGTGAGGCGAGCAGTAGCGAAACACGTGCATCAATCTCGCTTCGAGGCATCGATGATGATGAGCGTCATTTATAACGCCCAGTGCTAAAAGAAGCATCTTGAAAGTTGATGATAAAAGAATCATTCTCAGCCGTTAATAAAATGCTTCCTTTGGCAAAAAAGAATCATGATGATAAAAGGCATGCATCTTATATCATTCTTCCTAAGAATCTAAGCTCCGAGTGTGAACTTAGCTGACCTCAACAAGCAGAACACACAATGGTGTAACATCATGAGATAACCACTTGGGCCTATCTCGGTTATGCACAATGGGATGACAAGAACTCTAATGTTTGGCATGATCGTTGGCTTTTCAGTTTGCCAACCACAGGCCGACCGGTGTGTTTAGAAAGCTGTGTGTTACGATGGACCAAACTGATGGATGGACGGGTCGAAATTAACACAGAGTAATCATCGCAGGATTTGCCAGATCTGTGATGCAGATTTTTCGAAGAACGAATCCACTAGAATCCAAATCCAGATCTGTTTTTTCCGATTTGATGATGTTTCCCACTGTCGACGCCGTGAGCGAGTCAAGTTTGTTGAGCGGGGCCCTGTGTTGGACCCACAAGACGGGTCCAATAACCGCGCGGGTAGATTTGGAGAAATCGACTCACGGCAAGCGGTCTCCTTTCTTAAATAGGCCCAGCCAAGAGAGTTGGTTCCGTACGTGGTGGAGGAGGTGATTGATCTTGATCGATGGGGGCGAACGGGAGTAAGGAAGGGCGGCGGCGGCGGCGGCTGGTGTTCACCTACGGTACGCTCAAGCGCGGCTTCGCCAACCACGGCCTCATGCAGGACCTGATCCGCACCGGGGACGCCGCATTCGTGGGCACTGCCCACACCGCCGGCCGTCTCCCCCTCGTGTGCGGACCCTACCGCGTCCCTTTCCTCCTCGACCTCCCCGGCGCCGGCGAGCACGTCTTCGGCGAGCTCTACGCCGTCTCCCCCCGGGCCCTCGCCCGCATGGACGACCTAGAGGGCACCCGCAAGGGCCACTACGAGCGTCTCCCCATCTCCGTCGTCGTCGACGGCGAGGGCCAGAAGGAGGCGGAGGCGGAGGCGTACTATGCGCACCGGAGCTACGCGGGGGTGATGTGGAGGCGGTGCGGGGAGATGGGTTACAAGGTGTACTCGGAGAAGGAGGCTAAGGGGTATGTGAGACGCACGGATCGGCCCCACGACATCACTTTCCTTGACCAGATCCGCATCTTCATCGCCTCGCCCCAGACGTAAGATCATCTACTCCCTTTCTCTCCTCTCTCTCTCTCTCTCTCTCGCTTCCCTCGGCCTCCCATGAGATGGAACTTGTATTGCTCTAGTTTTAGTTCGGAGTATCTTGTGTCAAGCGCATCACTCTATTGAAGGATGTGCGATCTTGTGATGGGCAATCACGAGAGAGTTCAACATCCCTGTTTCATTCTATGAAGCAATTTGGTTTGCTCTGTGACTTTGTGATTGCTGAATGTTACGAATTGAGTGGAGCGGGAGCGGTCATGCATGCGATCATGGTGGATCCTCAGCTGTGGTCTTCTCCCCTGGATTCGTCCATCGCCTAGCAGCAGCGGCTTCGTCAAACAATTTACCCTGTAATATTGTGCAGGAACTTTTCGTATTAATATAAATGATGTCGTTCTTACACTACGTACATATATTAGGTCAGCACCTTTCGTTGAGCTAACAGAGGCCTACTACTGGCTGTAACATTCCTCCCCAGTCCATGCTTCCCCTTCGAAGGTGTCATTTCGAAGCAAGGATCACGCGTGACATATTTATTGCGATGTCGCGGTGAACATGCTCATAAAATACGAACCCTTCCACCATCAACCCTGGTGCACTTCTCCACGGTCGTCCACGTCTCATGAGTCGATCCCTCTCTCGCTATGTCCCCTCCTCCTCTTCTGCTGTCCACATAGGTAGATCGAGAAGAAGAAGGGAGAGGAGGGACACGAATGGATCGCTGGGGGAACAACCATCACCATGAACAGCAACGGCAACAACATCTGAGGGTCAACGAGCTGAGCAAGAACATCCGCAAGACCCTTCCCCACCACCCAACCTGCTACTACTCCGACCAAAAGCCACCGCAGCAGCAACAGAAGCCGCAGCCGCAGGTGTACAACATCAGCAAGAAGGACTTCCGCAGCATCGTCCAGCAGCTCACCGGCACCCCCTCCCGCGACAGCAGCCCCGTCCCCAATCCCCATCCCCATCCCCATCCCCGGCCGAGGCCCTCCAGCACCCGCCTCCAGAAGATCCGGCCCCCGCCGCTCGCCGCAATTCCCCGGCCTCCTCCCCCTTCTCTGACCGCCGCCGCCGCTCGCCTTCCACCCCCCTATTATCCCCCCATCCCCTACCAAAGCCCTAGTTTCAATCTGCCCCCAGCTCCGGTTCCTCATCCCAATTGGGACCCTTCGTCCTTCCCCCGCCCCTTCATCTCCGCCGGTGCTGCCGGCCCTGCCTGGGCCGAGTCGCCCGTCTCCACCTACATGCGCTATCTTGAGAGCTCTCTCGTCAGCTCCGACACCTCCCGCCAGCCGCACCAACCGCCCCTTCCATCCCCGGGGTTGCTGCCGCCACTCCCCCTGCCATCTCCAAGAACAACCGCTAGGCTACCTCCTCCTCCTACTACCCCGTCAGCGTCGGCGTTGCCTTCTCCAAGCACGTTCTTGAACATGCTCTCGCCGAAATCTCCTTATCCACTGATGTCGCCGGGGTTCCAATACCCTCCGCCGCTGACTCCCAACTTTGCTCTGTCGCCATTGGGCCAATCGGAGATGTGGGGGGCAGGACCAGGGCCCGGTCCGCGGCCACCACCCTCTCCCGGGCTCTGGTTCCCTCCGTCACCCTCTGGCTTCTTGCCCATTCTGAGCCCTGGATGGAGGGATATGTTGTAGCTCCAAGGTGGAACTGCTGTTCCTTTGCCAGCTTTTGTTGACAGATAGCCAAGCCTATCGATCTCAATATCCATTTATTGGTCTGACCAAAGGTCTAATGTAAGTGTTCAACATAGATGACAACAAGTATTGGTTTAGGAGATTACCATGGACATGTCGGCAGTATGGGCATTGGAATACAAGATGATGGAAATGTAGCTGGAATTATGCAGGTGAAGGACAGTTTATTTTATTTTCTTTCTAATTAACAAATTCTCTTTGCTCAATTTTTGTATTTAATTCTGATCCTGAATCTATTGATTTACTATAAGCTGGTAAAAATGCTTGTATTTGAGGTAATGACAGAAGAAAATAATAAGCACTTGCTTATGGTGGGCTTTATGTTTCTTCTAATGATACCAAAAAACTATTGCAATATCTTGATGCAATACAGACTACTCGCTTCTTTTCATTTGAGTGCTTTTTCTGATGCAAAAATAATTGTTTTGAACTGGAGGTGGAATCTTACATTAGCTTCTGTTGCATCTGCCATGAAACAAATTTTGAGTTTTTATCATGACACCTGGTTGAAATTCTGTTCCGTTTGAGTTATTGTGTCGATAGATTTATCGGGTACCAGAGAAACTATGCAGGCCTTTCACATTGGCTAATTTGCGTATTGAGAATCATCTTTAAGTTGCATTGGTGTGTAAGTTTTGATGGGCTTAAGTAGAATTTAGGTTCATTTTGAGCTAGACAACTGGAATCATGTTTTCTTCATGTGAGTGTGCCTGGAGGTCTATCGTGATAGCTCATGACAATAAATATCTTTGGTGTGAGATATATTGTTTTGAAGACAATCTTCACTTCTTTCAATATGCCCGTTACCATGAAAACGATCCATTTGTTTTACTTTGCCCACATCTTCATTCAACTTTTAATAATTCAAGGTTGAACTGAACAATTATTTCTCTAATGAGCCTTCCCCATCCTCCATTTGATTAAAATACAATAGATAAATAGCCGTTCGATCACCTTTAGAAACTAATACTGTAAGTTATGCTCAAATCTTCTTTAGTCATAAATCTCGAAAGGGGAGAGGGTTACATACTGAAGCAACAAAATATTTCAATCTATTATATGCTAGCAGATTCAGTATCATTTACTTGGAGCTATCTATATTTGAAGTTCTTGTTGAGAATCATTCATCATAGAGTTTGGACTGCAAAAACAAGTCAAGTCTTCATCTGATTGGCAACAGAATCAATGGATTATTATGAGGTGGGTCACAAATTTTGGACACCATTGTATAACACAAAATAAAGCTGTAACATAAGCCTATGAATAAATTCCCGAAAATGTTACAAAAGTAAGTTACCAGTGTGACATTTTGCATCAACAATCATCTGCATATATCTCAGTTTACAGCTCATTCACTGCATTAGGTCCTCCTAGCAAATTTTGACATATAATGCAATTTTTTTCTTTGTTTAGGATAAATATTCCTGAAAATTTTTTATGTTTAACTTTTTTTTCTATATATTTACATGCTCACATTCAATTAAAACTGTGTTGAGCTCAACAGTTATCTCTTAATCGGAGCAGATTAAGCTCGAGTATCTGAACTAGAAATTTGGACTCCAGACCAGGATGATGGTAACACTTGTTTTCTGTTTGTGATGTAAACAGTTCCCATCCTTAGCATTTATATTTGAGGGATGCTTTCTTTTGTATCAACCAGAAAGAAAGATCCTTGTACATGGTTGGGAGCTTACAGCTTGTTGGTGCTGTTTTAGTAGGGTGTGTATGATGACTTGAGATGTGATCATGTTGTATATGTGGTGTTTGAAACTTGCAGTTGCTGTACTAACTGTTAGCTACAATACTCAGCTTTTCATCTTCTTCATGGTTCCACATTTCTGAAAGCATTAGAGCTTTTGATGCATTTGCTACTGGGGCAGTTTGTTCTTCAGGATTAGTACCATGTTTCTGTTCATGATTATGATAATGAGAATAATTTGTTTTGGGGACTTCTTTATGGATTGTGGTGCTTGTCATGCTTTGGATATTGTTCAATAGGAGAAGACAGTGTAGCAGTATGCTTAGATGCTGCAGTGACCAGTTTGTTGATCGCTCTCTGTAAGCATTTGGAAGATGTATAGTGGTGGTTGATCAACACAGGAATTTTGATGAGAGCCTGGAGATTCACATATAATCTTGATGGGCGCGTTAAAATCGGTGCTAAAATTATGGTGGGGCCCCTGCCAAACAAGTGCGTGCCCCCACTCATGTAGCCATTCAAGACTTGCCACATAACCAACCTTCTTCGGAGCCGCCCGATTCCTGAGGTGGGGGCTCCCTCGCGGAAAATTACGGTTGCTTTAGTGCTTTGCTTAGTTGCTACGCCATCGGCGTGAGGGGGTATATAGGCAATGTTGGCACCGCGTCGAAAGGTAGCAGGCAGCACACTTGCGCTCCGCGAAACGATCGAAACCCCGATTCGCCGGAATCTCAAGGCCTTGGAATTCGGATCGTCGACGATCGCATCGCCATGTGGTTGGAGATCCTCTGCGGCCTGGTCTTCTACAATTTCTTTCGGCAAATCATCAACGGCGAGGACGACTTCCCGGACATTGATACCTCCGATTCCGACGCCAGTTTCGCCGTCGCCGCCAGGTATGCCGGATCCCTTCCGTAACTTCGTTACTCTAACACTAGGGTCTATCTAGGCCGCTGGAGTTTGATCTTTCATCACGCGGTGTTTTGAGGGTGTTGCAGATTGGAGAAGCTCTATGGTGGTAAGGCGTTCGTCGGGCTTCGGATTCCCGACGCTGATACCGGCACTCGGCAGCACATAGATGTCGTTCTTGTTACGAAGAGGTCCGTCCTCGATCAGTTTCTTTGCTGTTTCTTGATTTAAATCGGTTCCTTGCCATGAAGGAATTTCGTACTTCATGATGCATTTATGTTATTTTTGACGTACTCTTTTGTTGCTAGTTTTGTATACTTACAGTAAGGAGTGGAGCAATAACAATAATCTATGATGTCAGGGAAGCAATGGTGGTGGCAGTCCGGAACTTTTCTGGTTTGGTGGCGATTGATGGGGGTGGGAACTGGGTTGACAAGAAGCACAAGTCTCAGACTCATCTAAATCCTGTAAGACATCCTTTCTGATGCCTTCAAATTTCTCTTGTTCAATATCAATGCTTCGTATGCCTTTTTTAGCTGCAGTGTAAGCATATAACTCTGCCTTTTGGTTTTGTTTTCTTCCTAAACATTGTGCACTTTTAATAGCACATTAAACAAACTTGTGAACATCATTGGACAAATATTAGAATGTTCTGATTAGTGATGGTTACTTGGCATCTTAATGGTTCCATGCTTTTGCTACTATTTAATATTTTAGCAACCATGTCATTCAGGTGATTGAAGTTAGCAGACAAGTAGCAGTTCTTGAATCATACTTGGAACAAAGAGGGTTGCTATTGCCCAAAGGACATGTAATTGGTCGAGTCATACTTCCAGATTCAATTTGCAGGTGTTGATAAAATGAATTTTTCGAGATTTACAGTATGATATGTGCTAATTCTGCAGTTAGAGTATATACCTTATATTGTGGATTTGTCTTTTTATGATCATCTTATATCACAAAAATGCTAGACTGGCTGATGTCCAAATATTTGAGGCGAAGCAATTTGCAGCTAAATGCTGGTGAAAGCAATCACCGCTCTTCCTCAATTTCATTTTTGAATTAGTTAAGGCCTATTAGAGATTGTTGGACTCTATTATCTTGTCACATTCTCCATCATCTATTGATTGATCCCTACTTTTCTTGAGATTGTTTATTTCTTTTCTATATCTTATATCCAATATCTGTTTACTTTGGCATAGATATTGATATAAGGCTTACTCTAGCACTTGGTCTTGGGAAATAGGAGATGATTTGATTATTGCTGATATGGTTAATATTATGCTAAATTGGTACACACAAGGACGTTAGATATTGATATGG